GTAGAACCAAAATTAAAACGTAAAATAGTTTCATTTAATATGTATTCTATTCGCGTAGAAACGAGAAATCGACAAGAGAAAAAAATTTAATAATTTACCACAGCTGCGTAGAGTAGAATTTAATTTATTTTAATATTTCCGTTAAGGTATTAACAAAATAACTTGTCATAATTAGAAGCTTTCAATATAGGTGAAACAAGGCTACATAGATTTCTAATTTCCGCTTTAGATTTGTGAAAAGTTAAAACGTAAATTTGTATTTTCCCGTATGCGTTCCACGAATTCTTGTTGTCGTACAACAAGCTCCCTCGTGATTTAACTTTACGAGGTTGACGGATATTATTACCTTTTCTCCATTTCGGACGCAAACATTACTGTTTCGCGTCGAATATGACAGATGACAAAGAGATGACGCACAATAAACACAAATGTAAGACAGTGATGTGTTCAGTCTGAAAAATTGAGAACTAATTGGTCAACCTCATTTTGGCATGTAGTGATAAATTAATAACGGCAGTAGTATTAACAGCCTAGACATGTCCTACCGTTGGGCAAAGGCCCGCTCTATACAGAGACAGTATCAGGTCATAGTCCACCACGAGGCCCCACTGCGGATTGGCGGACTTCACATATCTTCGAACATTTTTTTTTGTTATTATTTCGAAAACATACCGGAAAATATTGATTCCATAATCATTCTGTACAAAGATGATTTACGTAACATTTCAAAGAGTGTATCCACATTCGTGAACAAGTCATTTGCGATTTAACATATGTCATCTTACTCGTATGAATGAATTAAATAAAATCAAAACCCGCTCAAAGAACACTGTTTGTGTCTTATCAAATTACGTAACGGAATTAACTATGTAAGGGAATTAACTGCTCTATTGTCGTGACGGATTTGTGGTCGAATTAATTCGTAGTTCAATTCGTTAAACTAAATGAGCCGCGTTAGTTAACTAGTACAATAGACTACCGGCAGGTGAGCACATAAATTACATTCTTTATACACCACGCCACCGCAACTTGGTCGTACTGTACTGCAAGTTAGGGGTTGCGCTTAATGAACCTCGACGCTATTTATCAATATATCAAAATGGTCAAGTACGATCTTAGTGTACTTTTTTTTATTTATTTATTTATACTTTATTGGAAACTTAGGAACTTAGGAACTTAAGAATTACAAAGGGAAATTACGAACTTAATGCCTTTTGGCATTCTCTCCCAGTCAACCCAGTGCGCGTGGGGAGAATACGTGGTAGATGCAATTATTACAATAAAATATTCATATGTTCTATATAATTACTAAAACACATAAAATATAAAACACACACAAATATAATATAATACAAACTTTCCACGATACAAACCTGCCTCTCCAATCCTAACCTTAATATACTGTTATTGTTTATTCCATCAGTTAGGACAACAGGAAAACAAGCAGGAAGTGCCGTTTTTTATATTTAAAAAAAAACTGTTTCTGAAAACAACATAAATACTTCATTTTAATGGAAGTTCATTGTCTCCTTTGCTATAGAAATTCTAGGAACGGAAATCAATAAAGGATCAGTGTCGCATATTATCCTGCAGATTTGAGTATACTTCCATGACAACACTTTCGTGTTCTGTGACCCAACTCACCAGCATACGAGGTAACGAACATGTTTGTATGTAAATGTAAACAAAAGCTTTTAACATCAAATTAGAATAATGCCAGAAGCTTGTTGGTCTCACAATAATCTTTGATAAAAATATTGAAACTAAAAGAGTATTATCACTGTGCCGTTACTTTATAGATTTCAGTTCGTGAACAAATATTTGGGTATTTAAATTTTATATAACGGTTATAAACTGAATGTTACACGTTTGAGTAAATGCAAATATTTTTTAAATTAAAAAGCTTATGAGCATTGGCTTATATTCATGTGTTGACAAAAATTAATATTAAGTAATATATGTATTTCTATAAAATAGAAAACTGCACAGTAGAAAAGTTCAACCCAATAACTACCATCTTAATCTAGTTCAAGCTACACCCTTATTTCGTTTTTTCACCAGGAATGCCTTTCCCTATTTCTTTTTATCTTTATATCGCAAACGATCTGACTTGGCGTTTATCTGATGAAAATGTTACGAAACAAGGAAATGCCATAATGCTGTGCTACGAGTAGCGATATAATTCAACGATCTGACTTGAGCATGCTTATTCGCTAGGATTGTCTATTTTTTTTTTTAAGAATACGGCAAACGGACAAGTCTGAGCCTGATAGTAAGTGATAGTTGCTAGGTACATCACTTCTAACGTTTGGTTTACAGGCGCGTCGTCAACTCATAGTAATTACGGTGTGAATAGGATTCCTAAGATTATACTGCAACTACCTGAACACTATTTTTTTTTAAATTAACACAATAATATAAACTATAAAACACATAGCGTTTTTTTTATGTGGCAAAGTTGTAAACGTGCTGGCGGTTCACCCGATGTTAATTGATAACCGCCGCCCATGGATATTTGCAACACCCGTTGGTTTGCGTTACCTTTTAATAAAGTGGGCCCAGACTACCTCACTCACCAGACGAAACGGAGAAGTGTAACACTTCCACTTGACGCCGGTCTTCTGTGAGGTCGTGGTACTAACCCGGACGGACCTGCCCATTCGTGCAACAACGAACAGCGAACGTTTTAATAATTATTGTTATAGGATACTATTATAGGACTCAAAACAGCAACAGAACGTACTGTAAGTACATAAAAGACTTGGAATAAAATATATCGTATCTAATTGATGGTACCTTCAGTTAAATCTGACATTAAATCTGAAATAACTCAGTCTGTCCCGTGTTGATGCAGGCTGATGGTTTTAAAAGTCAAGACGTAAGTCGTCAAAACGAAAAGCATAAAAATATCTTATATAACAATGTGCTATCTAGACTCTGGAGACGGCATGCGAAATGTGCTGTAGTAACAAATAAAGCTTTCACTCCCAAGGGGTGGGTTTGACCGCAAAGAAGTTGCGGTGAGCTTACGGAAACAAAACAACAACTACAGCTGCATTCCATTCGATAATTAAAAAATGCGTGAGCCGTGTCGCAGCGAAATCGAGGCGGATTAATAGAGAATTCCCGGAAGTCAAAGAACTTTGCTTCGTGCTATATTTATAAGTTACATATATTTAGTTTCTTTATAAATTCCCACAAGTAACACTACCACAATACTTGATTTTTTACAGCTCGAAAAACCACTTCTCTGGATTTAATACAGCTTTTGCGTTCCTAGTCGCAAAGATGACGAGACCCTATTATTAAGACTTGGAGATAGTTAGACAATTGAAATTTTCACAGATTATGTTGTTATAGAGGCAACAGAAATATCTGTATATAATATAACAACTAAACAACAGAATGAACAAAATATTTCAGAAGGGCTCTCATACAACGGACATGATTTGTTTGCCGTTTTATATAGTTCTTAATGATAGATTTTATAATAAGAGGAGGTATTATATAAAAATAAATATAATTAAAAATTCACATATCTTTCAAGTTACAGAATACTCTGAACTTTATATCCAATACTAAACTAAAATCTCATAAAATCTGCGAGCCTTTAGCAATATAATAAGTCTAGAAATATAAATTTGTTTATAGTGCTAATCTCTGCACTTAAGATTAAACATTAAAATTTGTAGAAAAAGAACGAAAAGATTGTCGTTGCTGTGGTAATCGAACCTACGTCTTCGGCATTCGCGGCCTGACGCTAAGCCACTAAGCTAAACGGCTGATTGCCACACCGAAGAAAATCTTATCGTATTTTTTCTACAAATTTAATTAATAAGTCTAGTTATGAGACGTATTTCGAATTTTATTTGTCTTGAACATGGTAAAGAAAAAAACTTTTAAGGTCTCTGGAGATAATAAACGTAATCAGATTACGTCAAGACAAGAGGAAACTGTGGTAGGGCAACAGCTTCGGCTGTTGCAAGAATGGGCAGGTCCGTCCAGCTTAGTACCACGACCTCACAGAAAGACCGGCGTGAAGTGGATTTATTATACTTCTGCGTTTCGTTGGTGAGTGAGGTAGCCGGAGCCTACTTTATTGAAAGGTGGCAACGGATCTACAACTCTTTGGGCGTTTCAAATGTCAATGAGCGGTGGTTATCGATTAACATCAGGTGTACCACCAGGTCATTTGCACCCTCGCACATAAAAAAAATATGTAAACAATGACAACAAACGCGTGTTGACGAAATTTAAAGGAGGTGTCTTTTTTTTTTTACGTGGGAAAAATCCTTTATGGATCCCCTGCCACCTTGTGGGTAGGCAACAGGGGGTGAGGGTGCCGTGACGCCTGTCCAGCCACCGACTGAGTACCGGACGTATGGCCTCTATGGTTCTTAGGCCGGCACTGGGGTGCTCCAGCCTCTGCTCCCACTCGGCGATAGCGAGTGAGCGCAGCCTTACTCTGCACCCCTTCAACTCCTCTAAGGCTGGCAGGTGACCCCGGGCTATTGCCTCCTCGCGCCAGTGCAATAACGCGAGGATACTGGCTTCTAGGCCCCAGGGAACGCGCACGCCGCCTCACCGGAAATCGTCCGGTAGCCCCGTATGGCCCGTATAGCCAACACCCTCTGTGGTCTGCGCAGAAGCGCCATGGTCCGACGATTCAGGGTGTCGGCCCAAACGGGAGCACCGTACAGGGCCAAAAGAGGTGTCTTAACGTAACCTGAGTTCGATCGACGGTGCTAGAAATAATGAAATTGTTAAATTTTAAGTGCTGACTTATCACGTGCTCAGCGGAGAAGGAAAACATCCTGAGGAAACCTGCATATTTTCGAAATAATAACAAAAACAAATATTTCGAAGATATGTGAAGTCCGCCAATCCGCAGTGGGCTCGCGTGGTGGACCCTGATACCCTCTGTACAGAAGCCTTTGCCCAGCAGTGAGACATGTACAGGCTGTTACTTTACTTGCTTTAATATCTCCCTTTGTCCCCAGGATGTCGATATCACACGATCCGAACGCCACATACGCCGAGTTGGTGATTGCAAACGTGAAGCCGGACGATGAGGGGGTCTACCGCTGCGAGATCACCTACCTCCAGGTCGGCGAGGACTGCAACACCGTCCAAGTCACCGACTTCCATACGTACAGTAAGTGAATAAAATCATTTTGTATTTAAAACTCGATACCGGTTTTGGAAGCACCACTCTAAGCTTGATTCCAAAACCAGTAGGTAACAAGCAAAGGTGTGGTCGGCCACGCCATAGCCTACGATAGGCTTAAAACAGAGAACTAATTTTCATCCAGACCTATTGCTATATTTCATATAAAGTTTTCACTAGAGCACGCGGAAGCAAGCTAAAAATAATGATGTTTTAATCAAGTGTTACCACAGTAAAATTATTTTACAAAAATGAGAGTTTAATATAATTATGTACCCAGGCTAAAATCAAGTGTTCTCACGGATCATCCTTGGAAGGAATTGGTGTTCTTTTGCGAGGATTTTCGGTTTATCAAATCTAATATAGTGGTTGGGGCGGTCTAAAATATGATCACAAACTGCAGACTTCTTCCACCGTCGGTGCTTCACGTCAGTGTTCTTTAGTTCTGATTTTAAAACCAGAAATAAAGAATAGACCATATTTTGGACCGCCCCAACCACTATATTAGATTTGATCAACCGAAAATCCTCGCAAAAGAACACCGATTCCTTCCAAAGATGATCCGTGAGGCTATTGAAATAAACAAACATCCTAATTTCAATAGAGAAGATGGTTGGAATTTATCATCTGCTTGGGATCCCATAATTTATAAAATTAAATCCAAGCACACTAACACTGCCAGGCCTCAAGATACCATAAGCTCCTTCTGCGTGGATCGGAATAAAAATAAACAAAATAATTGACGGTAGCCGGAGTTAAGTATGACATCAATACGTATAACACTTAGTCTGTCCCGTGACCATAAACACTGGAAAGGGTTCGAAACGTCGGGAATTTAAATCAAAATAAAAAACGCGATAAAATATGTAAAGTAGTTTCATTTAATATGTATAATATTCGCGTAAAATGAAGAAAACAATATGATGAACATAGTGTTTTTCTTGGTGTAGTTTTCGTTGTGTCTGGGTGCTTATATACAATATGTATTTATTTACAAAATAAAATTACGTTTAAGTATGTTTATCACTTACCTAGTCCATAGTACAAGCTGTTCTTAGTTTGAAATTAAATATTTGTATATTTCGAAGCACTGGAACAAGGATTCTTATTCGTTTACAATAAATGTGTGAGCTGTAATTGTACAATAACTGATCCAGGAAACTCATCTCTTAGTCGTTAACGTTAACATTTTACTCTTCATTAAGCCAAAATACAATCCCCAAACACTGAAAACCTTCACAGAAAGTTGCTTGGAAGTTAATCCATAAATTAATTAGGTGTCGACAACGCCCCAATACTAAGTCCTCAGCCGGTGCGAGCTGTTTTCTTCCCATGGATATTGCTCCGGGTAGCCTCAGGCGACCCAATCAGAAGCTTTGTATAGTTGTCTCTTTTCAACTAAACCTTTTCACTATCGTCACTCTTTTCTCACCGGCAATTCTCGGTGAGAAATTGCTGGACCGATATATTGGAAGCGCCCTGTTGTTTAGCGCTGGGCTACTGTTTCCTCGAGATTATTGTATCGACACTCGATTTAAGGAGAATATTGGAGTACATCGAAGAAAAAATATATCCTGTACAAAGCGGTGGTAAATTATTATCCAGTTTCGTGTACGTGTACGGCTATTTCACTCTGGTGGACGTATTTGGTATCAACAAACATATTGTCCGTCGGGTACAACACAAATTGCGTACACAACTTAGGTAGGGGGTTTTTATACGTTCATGGACTGAACTGTTTTATCTGTTAGTTATTACACTGTTAAATATCAACTTAAACTTATTTGAAATAAAATACACTTACTGATCAGTAGCATGAATATTCAGAGGCTTTAAAAATAATTTGTCTAGAAAATTATATTTTTTTTATGTGAACGGTTCACCTGATGTTAAGTGAATACCGCCGCCCATGGACATTTGCTACAGCCGAGGGTTTGCAGATGTGTTGACAACCTCTTGAAAATTGGCCCTACCACAGTTGTAGTCAGAGCAAAGCCAAAGTCAGAGCCCCAAGGCACTTGGGCCTTACAAAAAATTTCTTTTTATGGTGGTAGGGCCACGCAGCAGCCTCGGCTGTTGCACGAATGGGCAGGCTTGTCCGGGTAAGTACCACGATCTAACAGAAGACCGGCTTGAAGTGGAAGTATAATACTTACGCGTTTCGTCTGGTGAGTGAGGTAGCCGAAGCCTAATTTTCAAAAGGTGGTGCACGCCTCTGCTACCCTCGGGTGTAGTTGATTTCTATGGACGGCGGTATTCACTTAACATCAGGTGAACCGCCTGCTCGTTCGGCAACTTTTCACATAAAAAAAATTAATATATGAATTATAAAAGTTCATCACATATCTAATAAACAAAATAGCACATACATGTAAAAGCATTTCGCAGCTTAATTAAAGATTTGGTTATATTTTTCCGTGTACCGTGTGATGACTCTGTGGTGCAGTTGCCAAGGTATTTGGTTTCGGCGTCGGGGGTCGTGGGTTCGATTCCCACGCGAGACAACTATTTGTATGCACCACAGATAGATTGCTTCCCATCTGAGTTTTTGTTCACTTGAACTTGATTTTATGACAATTTATTTCTTTTTAAAACGTCCTTACAACACAGGACAATGTTATCCGATACTCAGTCTACTTGCTTTCGGTATATGGATAAACCTATGCATTCATGTCTGTCATATTCCTTATTTATACTGTTCGACCACATTGCTGATAAGCTTTTAATCGAATTAGCGGATCCAAAGCAAATATTGGCCCAGTATCGATGGCCCTTAATATGGACAATTGACAGTGATCTGACGTCTAAGCGTAACGTCAACACAAACACTAATCGAATTAATTAATTCCATACTATATCTAAGTTACAAGAACACTGGATTATGTACGTATGAATCCAACATAGAAGGTCTCATAATTTAAATTTTGCTCTTCCAATCTGTCCAATATTCCCGTCGGCTATCCTCTTGGGTATTGCCTCCTCAAATGTAAATAGGCTTAGGTAAATATCTGATGGGATGTATCATAAAATAATTGCAGTTGGTAAGACCTAGACAACTATCTGCGACATAAAAGGTCTAGCTAACAAGGCTAAAGAGGGTCTGAATATAATTAACGTCTGATGATAAATGGACACTAATAACAGTGCTCACATACTACCATCACTACAATAGATACACCGTTTCCCTGTACTGTGTAAAGTGTTGAATATGAAATGAAACACGTGGAAGAGCTAAGTGAAAACAGTGAACATAAACTGGACTATTTTCCAAACAATCAACATGTTTGAATGTAATTTCGTTCCTTTTCTCGACACTTGTGAAATGAAATTGATTTTATCAATTATCTCAATAATTATTATCACAAAGCTTGGCATTTCTTATATACCATTGAAATATTATGCACAATTCTCAATTCCAAGGGATGGGCATCTCTGCCTCGTATTATTACAGTTTTCTCCATATTTCCCTTGGTTTGATCTGCATACACTTTTTACTCCTATATAAACTGATTTAGTTCTATTTTAAACGTCACTGACCTACTCTTAAACTGTTTTCCTTGGGCTTCGTCTTTGACGAAAATTTAAACTTCTTTTCGCTTTTATGTTATACATTGAATTCCTCAGTCGTGAATCGTTTCGTGATACTGCGGTCCATAAATATGCTGGTTTAAAGCTTGCCCCTTATATAAAATAAAATTGTCTCATTTTCTCGATCGATTTAATTGGACTTTTTTGTGCCGAAAGGATTACACGTATCATAAAGTACTAAACTACAGTTTCTAACATCTCTAACGAGTTTTGATGATATAACTGCTACGCTTGATACAGCATAGACCAAATCAAGTAATTGACTAGAGTGATCATCGTCCCATAAATATCGTTTAAAACACATCAAAATTGTGCCGCAAAAAGTCAATGCCGCTCTCCATCTAAACGAAGTTTATTTGACACTCCATTAACCACAAATTGAGAATTTCACAGGATTTACATACAGATCAGAAAATTTCCCATAACCCTTTAATCGCTAGCGGGGACATTATCTTAATTAAAACAAGACGGGGTAGAACAGACCCCAGGGGATTGAACTTTTGATTCTTTAAAACCGTCCGCTCTATGGAGCACTTAACGTTAAGTAATATTATATCTGAGTTTAAAACGGAATAAAATGAGGTTAATAAAGCGGTTTACATCAATTTCACTCTGTGAAAATTGTTTAGAGAATTTTTACAAAAGTAAAAGTAAATATAATTATAAAACTGTTAACAGAAGCATTTCAAAAAGTAGAAATTACCATCATAGCAGTAGCAATTTGGTGTGTAATATGATGAACTTATGTTGCGTCATCCAAACGGAGATTTGTTATCAGGTATGCAATGATATCTGTAAAATTCCATTGTGAACGGTGTCAACTATGTAATAATCTGCAATTGAAACTCTTATCTGACTGTGTTTTATCTATCTACTAGCTTTTCGCCCGCGGCTTCGCTCGCGTTGAAGCCCTTAAATAAATATCTATCCCCTTTAAGAACCCTTTATAACCTTTTTTCCAATTAAAAGATAGCCTATGTCCTTTCTGAGGCTCTAGACTATCTGTGTACCAAATTTCATTTAAATCGGTTCAGTAGTTTTGGCGTGAAAGCGAGACAGACAGACAGAGTTACTCTCGCATTTATAATATTAGTATGGATGAATGATCGATCTATGACGGACTGTGTTTTAGCGATCCAAGAATTAGTACTCTGTGTAGCAAATTACAAAATACACGCCAAATTAAAAGGCTTCTAATACAGTAGTTTGTTAAATAAAAAGCTCATATACCAGACACGACATATATTGATGCCAAAACTATTAGGGGCCCGGTTTCAATGTTCATTACTATCTCTTAAAAAAGAAATGGAGACATATATTGGTCTAATACTTTATACCCGGCCATCTAGCTATAATTAGTTAATACATTTAGCGGAACAATATTGGAAAAGATATCACGT